AGTGTAGATATGGTGAGTTTCTGATATAAAGGAACAAGTTTTGCGTCCAATTGGTAATCTTTTCTAAATTAATTGCTAATGGTGTGGTTTGGTGATTGGAATTGAAAACCAACCGTCATTGATTAAGGAATTGACAGGCTTGAAAATTCAGGAAATTAACTAAAAGTTGCAGACATGTTCATACAATTAGATTTAGAGAGTAACTGTTTAGGGATATAGGATTAGGGATATGGTGCTGCAGAACACAAAGATGCAACTAAAATTCTAGAAATCCCTTTTATAAGTTGCTTCTGTTTAAACTAATTATGCCATGATTTGAAAATATATTTCGCATGATTGTTCAAAAAAATTAAAACGCTGACGCTTTAAAACGTGTTCGTACACTCGTAGTAAGGTAACATTTGGTATTAAAAAGTATATTTCTCAGTCATGGTCCGGCAAGTTTTGGATCTCTAACATACACAAGGATTCTGTTCGACCCTCATTCTCCTTGTGCTTTTGCACTTTCGCGGCTACATTGAAAATAACCGATTATTTTGCAGTTAAAACATATTAAATCTGTTTCAAAATAAATCAATTATATAAACATGCGCTCATATTACCACTATGAAACTGGTTTTAAGAGAGGTTAATTTTCGATTGAATTTCTAGGAGTAAACGTAACATCAAGTCAATTAAAGTCTATCAGTGTTGGTTTTATGTTAATATTCTACTTCACTTAAATCTAGTTGGTAAAAATTCCATTTACGTGTCAGAATAAGAAAACCTCTAATAGATAATTTTTAAATGTTATAAATGACCAGTTTGCATGACAGTTGGACATAATCCCAACATAACAAATGTAGATCTGGTTAAATAGCTGAGTTCTTCCTCTGATAATCACACAAAAATTGTATATATAAACGATAAATGTAGTTTGGGTACTTCCGATGTTTTTGTTCCTATTTTGACTTAAAAGGGCAAATTATACTTGATAATATTTCTAAAGTATGCTATTTACATCTACGTATCGACTTGATCAAACTGATTTTTTTTTAAAACGAAGTGTACTAATTGTTAATTAAGCATTTTGGCCTAGTTTTGGTTGATATTGTTCGTTAAAACCTTTAGACTTCGTAGGAGACATATTTCTCTACCAGCAAGCGAATATTTTACTTAATTCAGTGCAGTATTTTTTTGAACAGCTTTTAAAAAGCACAACGAAGTTTTGGCGATTTGAAATTTAGCAAGCAGCTGGATTTTTTCAGTTAAAGCTTCAACCGTAGAAACGCATTCACTTTCGAATTTTAGTGTATACTTTGCCATATCAAAATAGGCCTAATCATTCATCAAAATATCTTTGAAATACAACTGATCCGAGATTTACTAAGTTTCGTAAAAATCTGATAAAATATGTCTATCGTATACAACTAAATGTCTGCACTATTATGTAGGCGTATAAAAACATGAGTGAATGAATATACAGCAGTATATAATTGACTATGTGTCATGAAGTAATTGAATGGTATCTATATCACGTGATCAATATCAGTCTAAACAATTAGTTCTTTTCTCACTTACCGATTGAAGAGCTGTTTAACAAATCAAATCACGTCATATTGAAATCTATAGCCGATATCAATTATTAATGATCTAAAGAGGCGTATATTATTAGAGGCCCCGCGGCCATAGTTTTATAAAGCGGAAATAGTACATTTAGAATTCACAAAGAACTATATTTCTAAAATTATAATTCGAGTTTAGAAGAGTTCTGCCTATGTGTTATATTTACAAAGTTGTAATTCGAGTTTAGAATAGTTGTGTTTCTGTATAATATTTATAAAATTTTAATTCTAGTTTAGAATAGTTCATCAAAAGATTGTCAACTTTGAACTTGTTTAAGATCTCATCATAAATGATCACTAAATGATAAATTAAATTAAAATCAGTTGAAAACTGTAGTCTTTATTGTGTTCACAAACAAAGTTTGATGCATTTTTCCTAAGTCAAGGGCAATAACTCAAAAACCGTTTATAGAAAGATCGTCAACTCTGAACTTGTCTAAGATCTCATCAATATAAATGATCACAACAAATTTCATTAAAATCGGTTTCAAACTGTAGTCTCTATTGTCTTCACTAACAAAAAATTTGACGTGTTTTTCATAAGTCTAGGGCAATAACTCAAAAACCGTTCATCGAAAAATGGTCAAATTCGAACTTAACCAAGATCTCATCAATATACATACACACATTAATTTCCATTAAAATCAGATAAAAACCGTAGCCTCTATTGCGGTCACCAGACCAACGTACCGACGGACAGGGGCAACGGCAATATACGTCCAAATGTCTATGTGGGCGTATAAAACTTAAACAACCCTGTCCCCAATGCATGTTTTCCTATCCGACTCTATTTAAAGCATCCGACCCTGTTAGGAATGTCAATATAATCCAATCAAAGAGTTATATTAAATAGAGTAGAGTACTAATTGTTTAGTATAATACTAGTCCCTATCATTATTGATCTCTTAATAGCAAACCATCAGTACCATTGTTGACTTTTTTATTGCCTGTCCTAATGCAAAAATTGTTCACGAGCAGTCATAATGGCGAATATCCGCCATGTTTCATTCCCTTGAGCATTATGGGTATTTACTCGTCTGTTCTTCTGTCGTTGCCAAGGAAAATATAAATTTGTTGATTCAATCATTTTTGATTGTAAATTGGTAAATTGGCGGAAATACCGAGGGACTTCGTACATTAGAGGCTATTAATAACTGATACTGCAGGTACATTATTTTGATAAATTTTAACCAAACCTAGTTTCGATTTTTTTTTAATTTAATATTATTGCTTGTAAAGGGGACTATATCCTTTTAATAGAAGTAAAATGGTTAGCTTTAATTAGTCCACT